TTATATATTAATTTAATTAATATATTATATAGTAATTATATATTTTTAATTTATATATAATTTTAAATTAATTTTTATATATTTATAAATTAAATATTTTATATTTATATAATAAAATTAAAAGTCATTGTACTAATTGACATGACAGTTGTTACATTTTTTTAGAACGTGATGAATTGTTTGACTATTTATTAGGGATTTAAAATGTTGTGAGAAGAAGAAATCCTTAAATTTGTTAAATTTATGAATTTTTAAAATTTTTGAGTTCTGTCCTGCAAGATTTAAGATAAAGCTTGCTTAAATGCCGACTAACATAAGATAACAAGTAACCCCTTAAGAGAAACTCATTTACACGATAGAACAATATAATACCTATTACTCAGCGCTACTTTACATTTACAAATTGAACTTAAAAAGCTTAAAAATAAATTAAACGAAACCTCCAACTTAATAAAGATTGCATTAAAGAAAATTAAATGCAAATTTACAAGACAAGTATAACCAAAGATTAAAATAAAATCAATAAATAAGTTGAACTAGAAAAAATAAAAAATAAAAACAGAATAATTCAGTTTCAACCTGAGTGCAGCTATCATAATGGAGCCTTTTGTGGGTGCAGCTATGTTTTGATTGTAATAAATGAAAAGGCTCCAATCACTTATACCCTTCTAGTTTTCTTCTTGTATATGGAGGTTTCTCTGTGCTTGATCGGGTCGATTCGGGATTTTGCTCCAACTATTTTTGATCGAGCCTTCAATCCCACCGGGATAGGATTTGCTGGAGCTGCTCTGATGTCTTCTTTCCTCTTTTCAAGATGTTTTGTTGGTTTTACTGTGGATCTTCCTCTGCTTCTATTTAACATATCTCTTTTGGGTCACTTGTATTTTGGGCTTGAAGTTTCCTTTTGTTCTTGCTTACTTTTTTAAGTCGCATTGTACTGTGGATTTTGGAACTCATAGGTTGACGATCTACTTTATTTTGATGTTAGATAGGGATCCAATCCACTATCTCACCCATATTTTGTAACATTTTTAAGTATTAACGCGTAAGAAGCCACAAGTCGCTCTTTTATCTAATATATATATATATATATATATATATATATATTGTTGACCTCTCTTTTGTTTGTGGGTTATATATATATTGTTTCTCAACTAATTAAGTATAAATAGGTACTATCTTTTACAATGAATAAGTTATTCTGTGATAGAGATAAAACACAAAACTCAAATAGTATATATAACTACAATCTCTTATTGTTAAAATAAATGATTGTACTTTGTTTAAACCTTGTTCAAATCATGATTAAATATTATAAAATCTTTTTTAAAATATTATGTTGTTTGACCTATCTCAAATATTATTTGATCAGATTTAGAATATAATTTGTGTAAATTCTAATATATTATTTGAATAAGATACGATCATATCTCTTAATTTAATTTAGGGTTTAGGGTATTCGTTAACCTATTCGTCAAGTTGAGAGAGTCTTGTCCTATCGTATGTCGTCTTTTTCTCCGGAAGAGGGCATCTCAACGGAGAGCTGTAAAGGGTTTCAGTTTCGCGGAGGAACACAATGCGAAGCAAATGGGCGAGCAATGAAGTCTGACAGAGTGGTATTTCGAAGGTTTATTAGTAAATATTACATTTTAGATGTTTAATTGGTAAATATGAATATTTAACATATTAATAATTTTAAATAATTGAGATATTATAAACCCGCAATAACATTAAGTTAACTTCTTTGACTGCCAGCCATGAACAGTAGCACGATATGGAAAGACAGTTGCCTGGTAGACTTGGCTCATCGTGAGAAATCAATTGCTCCCTAAATGAAATTGATTACTTTATATTCATAATCATTAGCATATATAGCCCTGATGTCAACCAGGAACCAGCTTCACTTAAGTGTCTTCAGTTGAATTTGGATTTCTTATCAGTCATGCCGTTAAGTACTAGTAAACAAAAGTCGCCTAAAATGAACCAGTGGTGTGCTCTCGCAGCTCTTCTTCAAAGCCTCGCTTTGCCTTCCTAAACCTCGTCGGAACCCAAAACGAGCGAAAAGGGAGGACAAAAAAGAGCCGTTGGAAACCCAACCGGGCCATGGCTTTTTCAAACATCGAAACATCATACTTAAGCCGGTAAAAGTCATTTTCAAGCTTAAAAATGTCAGCGAAAGTCATTTTCATATTTACTCGCCTCTGTCTCGCTCTCTCTCGTCGCTTTTAGCCTCCCCTGCTCGCCATCCTCGCCGTCCCTAATCCTTTTCAAAAAAAACATCTGTGATCCATCTATCCTATCCAATGGCTCCCACCCCCTTCCAAAAACCATTCATTCCAAGCCACCAAACCCCCACAGAAACCTCTCAATCAAGAAACCGCCTCAACTTCACCAACCCAAAAACAAGCACAAACCCTCATCCCTAAACCCTCTCTCCGCAGCTCCAACAGAACACCTCGTCGAAGTTATCTGCCGGATCCGCGACATTTCTGACCGCAAGAACAAATCCTCGTCGTCTTCCTCCTCTGCTCTACAAGTCTCCGGCGATGGTTGCTCTCTCCTAGTCCGTTCCAACGTTGGCTACAGGAATTTCAGCCTTGAAGGCATCTCCTTCTCGGAGAAGGAAGATCCGGAGGTTTTCTATAAGAGGTTCGACGAGTCGAGGGTCGAGGAGGAGCGCTCCGGCCCCAAGTGCACTGTCGTGATGTACGGCCCTACAGGGGCTGCGAAGAGCCACACCATGTTTGGGTGCCATTAAGGAGTCGGGGATCGGGTAAAGGCCTCTCCAAGGAAGCAAGCTTCACCGCCGTAATTCTTACATTTTTTTTTTCTTTTTCTTTGTTCAAATTTCCTTCATTTTGTAATTATTAAAGATATGCTTGTGTTATATTACAGAAATTTATTTGACTAGAGGTGTATGCAGTCTCATTTACTTCAATATTTCTAATGATTACACTTCCAGACGACAAAAATCAACCAGGGAAACATATCTCTGAAAAGAGTGGTTGAGTCCATTGCCAACAGAGATTCCCATGTTCCTTTTAGAGACAACAAGTTAACAATGCTTTTGCAGGTAATATTGCTCATTCTTGTACTTTGGGACCCTTATTATAACAATATTAACAATCCATATTCTTATGCAGGATTCATTTGAAGATGACAAATAAAAAATTCTCATGATTCTGTGTGCAAGTCCTGTTCCCAATGAAATGCACAAAATTATCCACTCTAGCCTATGGAGCAAAGGCAAAGTGCATTGTCCGTATTGCTCACATGCCAACTCCCAGGGATAAGCTAAGCGGTGAAGATTCTTCAACAATGCTAAAATAAAAAATTGTGGCAATGAACCAATTCATTTACAATCTACAGATGTAGAACAAGATGAAGGACAAGGAATTTAGTAAAGTTCAAAGAGAACTTATGTGTAAAGAGGATGAAATAATAAGGCTTCAGTCTAAGCTTGAGCTCGTTGAAGGAAGGCAAGCAACGGAAGAAGAAGATGAGATCATCTGCCTGGTTGATGAGAGGACTCGGGACTTGAGAATTGAACTGAAGAAGGCGGAGGAGATATTGCATCAACAACAAGAGGAGCTCCACTTTTTAAGGAAACAATTAGAGGGGATGAAATTTTGCTAGTGCAGCTAATGAGGATGCATTGCATTTGCATAACAGAGAAGATGGAGGGAAGTTTTTGAAACAACTAGCTGAAATGTGCTTTGAAGATCAAGTAATGGAGAAGTCAATGGAGCTGGAGATGGGTGATCAACAACCTATTCATGCTATTATGGAAATAAGGGGTCAGAATTCTCATAATTTCATGTTTTTTACTGTTTATTGTGCAGATATTTACCATTCATATATAGATTTTTTTGTTTATCTTCTGACACCTACTAACCAATTTCTTTTTTGGATTTAATTCTTGATCAAACCTTCTGTAAATGAGTCCACTGAATCTCTTGACACTGTGCTTCATAGCAATGTTCGGACGGTTGAGCGGGTAGAGTTCAATCAATTTGGAAGTCGTTCTCGATCTTTTATACGTATTGTTATCTAAATGAGTTCACTTCTAACTTTCTTATAATCATTAGTAGGTTGCAAATAAATTAGAGTTGGTTAAGCAGTTTAAATTGGAAAGAAAAAGACGACAAAAGAAAGTGGAGTTAAAGGAAAATGAGAGCTTTGAGAGGAAGACGAAGAGTATGGTGATGGAGGAGGCAATAAACAGTATTCCGGAGCCAGAGTTTGGAGGGTGAAGCATCTCATGAAGGCTTTTGAAAAAAGATTTAAAAAAATTCTCAATAGCCTTCACGAGATGCTTCACCGTTTACAAACCCTGGCTCCAGAATACTGTTCATCGCCTCCACCATCACCATACTCTTCGCCTTCCTCCCCAAGCTGTCAATTTCCTTTAACTCGTCTTTCTTGAACCCTTCTTTCTCTTTTCAATTTAAATTGCTTAGCCAACTCTAACATCTTTGCAGTCTACCAATGATTATAAGAAAGTTAGAAGTGTACTCATTTGGATAACAACACGTATAAAAGATCGAGAACGACTTACATATTGTTCGAACTCTTCCCGCTCAATTGCTTGAACACAACTATGAAGCACAATGTCAAGAGGTTCAGTGAACTCCTTTACAGAAAGGTTTTATCAAAAACTAAATCCGAAAAAGAAACTGTTTATTAGATGTCAGAAGATAAACTAGAAAATCTAAAAAGATATGGTAAAATATTTGCACAATAAATAGTAAAAAATATGAAATTATGATAATTCTGACCCCTTATTTCCATAATATCATGAATAGGTTGCTGATCACCCATCTCCAGCTCTATTGACTTCTCTATTCCTTGATCTTCAAAGCACATTTCAGCAAGCCGTTTCAAAAACTTCCCACCATCTCCTCTGTCAAGCAAATGCAATGCATCCACAAACTATTTGATCGAGCAGGCAGCAGTCACTGTTCTCGATAGATGGGCGATAACCATAGAGGATTTACTCGAGAAACATATCTAACCTTCACGGTGTATGACTATCTTGGTATCGGTTGCGATGCAAAATTCACTCTTGAAATTCACAATCTCCGTGAAGAGAATCCCGAGAAATTTTACAACCAGGTATTAAAATTTACTGTGTTTTCAGTTTTATTTTTTTCTTCTTCTCTCCCATCAGACACATCGTATGATAAAACATAATAAAAAATTTTATGGAAAGTCTTCTGAGGTGGTTTTCAATTACTTGTTGTTGCAAGGTCCTGCGTCACTTATTTTCTTTGTATTTATGTATCTAACACATAACATCAATCTTTACATACATACCACCTTATGCAAGAAAAAACTGTTTCTCAAAAGCCACATAAAGTTCTTTAAAGTGGATGAAACATTAAAGAAACCTTTTAGCGAAACAAATCCACACAGTTGATCTCCCCAACCAGTATTCTATTTTCTAAGTTTAAACCGAGTTGACTTGGATGTAGTAGATTAGTCAAATTGCCCACATTGAGGAAAGTTATACTAAACTGCACCAACAACAATTATTTTTATATCTTTCGATGGTTTTGAGAGAAAAAGTTCAGTCTTTATTCAGCAGAAGGATCTTCCATATATGTTAAAAGAAGATATTATCAGTTAAATATGGCCCGCTGCATAATTTTGAAAGTTGTCCCAAGAATTTGGTGAAACTACTAGCAAGTTTTCAAAGCTAGGAAGATCAGTAACGAAGTCTGTTTTCTAAGGACCTCTTGATATATCCAAGGATAAGAATAAAAAGTTCCTAAGATTTGTGTTTGAGAGTTTGCATGCGATGACTAATAATTCCACAACAAAAAAATAGAGTACAATAAAGCAGATTAACTCACCACTAACCAATGATAACAAAAAATATCTTAAAACAGTCCTTCTCCGCTAGCCATATTTTTGCGGCCTAACAGACCAGTTTCCCAAAGAGGTTATTAACAAAATTTTTTTGAGATAGTGAAATACTTTATTATAACCAAATTCAACACCAATTGAGTATTTAGAAAACTCCAATCTTTGGTTAGAAAACATTTTTAAGGGAATTAGTATTTAAAAAACTCAGAACCTTGGAAGGTGTGTTATTGTGAAGGCCAATCTCAAAAACATCTTATTAAATATATCAAATTTGATCTCAACCTTAGCAACATACCCTAAAGATTGCTCCATATAAAAATTTTTAACAAGGTTAGCATAGGAAAATATATTACTAATATCCATTTGAAGATATACCCTGAAGATTGCTCCATATAGTTAAAGAACATGTCAGAAATGAGAGTGGCCTAGCGTCTTCTTGAATAGATATAATCAACTACTTCCCTGATTCTGGACAAATTTGTTAAATCATTCTTAAATAGAGGGGTTCCAGAATCTCTAAATTCTAAAGTGTGATGGACCCTCAACAGGGTGGTAGGTTAAGGCGATAAATGAATAGAACCAATGTAGGCCCAATATGAAATTAACCCTCTCAAATTTTTTGGATGGGGTCCTATATTTCACATTCGCTTCATTCCTCTTTCGAGTCTGACTTGTTGTTAACAAGCTAGCCTAAAATTTGCTCCTAAAACTTTATCCCGACAATATAAAACTTTAAGCCGAAAATAAGAACAGAGCTATAAATTTAAAATCAAACAAAATTTTGAAATCAAAATGAAATGACATTCAAAACAAAAACAAGAACAAAATGAAAAGAAACTTACATAAAAAACAAATAATAAAAAAAAATCAAGTTATTTATATAAGTTTCAAAAGAAAAATTCAATTCATGAGACAATTTTGTTTATTTTGGCATTCGTGCTGAAATTATTGCAACTAGAATAGAGCATATGATGCTACCAATGATTAAAAATTCTTCGATCGACTGAGACAATGTAGTCATCAAAGTTGATCTTCTCATTCACTGGAGTACTCAACCTACCAACCAAAAAAGTCGCTTGTTATTTGGGATCACTGATTAAGTTCAGAACTCGTTTTGATAAAATCAAGATAACACTCATGAAAGCACTCTGTGTTGTCATGAAGCCAACTGTTGCAAGGGTGGAGGAGCCATTATCCAAATTTGATTTGAAAAGTAAACAAGAGTTCCCCTACGCTTAAGAAGGCAAAAGTCGGAGGGATGCTCATTAAGTTCATTGTTTCTGCCTCCACCAAGTATATCGCTCCTACTACTGCGAGGACCGTCACTACCACCACCACTGGATTTTCTATCAATGCGCATGTCACTTCATCGTCTAAAAAAGGAAAAGAGATTTTGTATGAAGAAGAGCCAGTTGTTTCTTTTGCCTCGATACCATCTTTGTTTGAAATTGGGTTCAGTTCAAATTCTGTACTGCAGACCCAAGCACAGAGGAGAAAACAAAACCGAAAGATTCTGAAGAGTAAAAAGGTGAAAGCTGTAGAAATGGTTCCTGCCAAAGAAATACCTCATCCAGAGGAAATAGGTTTGTCTGGGACCTCACCTCTCCTCAGTAGGAGTAGGTTTCACCCATTGTCCACCCTTCCAGATTAGAAGATGTTTAAAGGATTGTCGACACACTACCTCTACCATCTCGTCATAATGGTCACGGTAAGAAGGTGAAATTCATGCCTCTTACTCGAGTTCATTCTGTCTTTGAGAGATTGGCTTGAAAAGAATACTGTTCCATCCTCGGAATCCTAAAGAGGATGGGGTGTGCTGTACGCCCTAGATGAAAGCTTAAATTCTAAAAAAAGACAAGCCTATCGCAAGGTTTTACAAGTCCGTCCAGAGAAATGAAGCACTGCCGCCCCGTCTCTCTATTAAGCTCTACTTAGGAGATCCTATAGTCACCACTGCCTCTGTCTCTAATGCTACTGTCAGCTCCCCGAGGCCTACAGAATGTAGACCGGTCAAGTCTTGTCTTGATCTGAGAGTAACGCCTGCCGCTGTATGTGAAGGCCAAGACAAGACTGTCGCAAGGTCACGTTTATGAACTAACAAATTATATGGAAGAGGAGTTTTGTTGAAATCAATGTTATTGAAACTAGAGCCTCATCATTTCTGCGCGATACTTCGTCACTCGTTGAGGAGAACGCCACTGTGATGCTACGGAGAGCCATTTAGTAGAAGGATGAACAGATTAATCGCATGGAGAAGAAGATGGAAGAAATGATGGTCATTATGATAACATTACAAAATCAGCCTCAGTCTCGAAAAATGGCTTCTGTGGAGGCAAACAAGCTAGAGGTTATTCAAATTGCGGATGAAAAGAAAGAGTTCAGTTCCACTAGCAGAGATGAATGACCAAAGAAAGATTTTATCCAGAGCATCATACCAGAAAATGACATTAAACAAATGGTTGAACAACAGGTGAATGAAGCATTGACACATTCAAAGGGAGAGACATTGATTCTAAAAGGTAGACCTTATCCAGAGAAGTTCAATGCCATACAATATTCCATGTGTTCCGTACTACCATCGTTTAATACCTTTGATGGAATCGAGAACCCCCGACAGCATGTTACATACTTCTGGGCCAGTTACTGCAATGTGGGGGTAGCGAAGCACTGTTGTTCTGCCAGTTTGTGAGCAGTCTCTCAAGAGTTGCCTTCGATATGCATATAGAGCTGCCCAACGGATTGATAAAGACGTTCACAAAACTAGAAAGCCAATTTCGCTGGAGCTCAACACCACATTACCATAGGTGATCTTGTGGTGGAGCGACAGAGGCCAACAAAAACCTTGGTTGACTACATTATGCGATGTAGGAACCCAAGAATGAAATATCAACCAAAGCTATAAGAAAAACATGCAATCGAGATTTTACTAATAAGCATTCATGGACCAGTAGTTTTCTTGCTTAAAGTATCTACAATCAAAACTTTCAAAAAATTGCTCAGCAAAATTGAAAGCTTACAAGAAAGATAAAGAACTCGAATTTCTGGAAAGAGCTGAGAAGCTAAAACCGATAAAAGCATTTGAAAAGAAGTTTGGGACAGTGTCAACAATAGACAAAGAAAAACAACCGATGCAGATCCAAGCTGCAGCCTAGATAGACATACCAGTGTCCTCAACAGTACAGTCAACAGTCGTTCCAGTAGAGATCCTGTTAGATAGATGGGAGGCAAAACCCGACCATGATCGACCGATTGAACGTGTTATACTCCTTCAAGGATGAGGCAGTAGGGAAGATGTTCCAAAATCTGGTTAAGAAGCCCGAGTTTAGGCAGTTTGAGTCAAAGAAACCAGAGGTAGACCTAATAGGACTTGAGCTTATTGTATAAAAAATGATCTTAATCTGTTAGAATTAAATAAGACGGAATGAAGAAAAAAGATTGTGTAGCTGACCCCACTTAGTGGAATAAAGGCTTGTTGTTGTTGTTGTTGTCATTTGTTTGGAGATTAAGAGAAAAAGAGCTATTTGGTTTAATATTACTTAGATAATCATATTTCTTACAATAATGATGTTTCAATAATAATCTTATTTACCAAATGCAGTTTATATGAGACAGATTATTTTTTTTTAATGTCAGAAACTTACCATAATCAGTTCTTGGCGGTGAATGATTGCTTGAGTAGGTATTGATTTGAAGCAAAATGGATCTTCTTCTTCGATGTGGATGAGTTCGTTTACTTGCAGCTGATTTTAAATTTAATTATAATATTTTGACTCTAACCTTTTTTTTCTAGTGTTTATGATCTATATAGCTCATGGCAATTTTTTCCAATTTTTGTTCATTGATTTTTCTTTTATTTTATGTCTATTCTTATATAATGATATATGAAATATTAAATTTGTGAAAAAAATTAAAATGAAGATATCTATACACTGAGTTTAGATAATAATAATAATAATAATAATAATAATAATAATAATAATAATAATAAGGGGTTTATTGAAGATATCTTTATAATTATGATGTTTATAATTCATGACAATTTTTTCCAGTTTTTTTTTGTTTGATTTTTTTTTAATGTTTATTCTTATTTAAACAAATATGTCACATTTATTTCTCTCCTAGAAGCAATTGTTACTTATGACATCTAATTTATTTTCTCTCCATTCTGACTAAGAATTTATTTATTTCGATACATGCTCATAATATTTTCTAAATTAGGAAAAAAAGAGAACATTCTATTCATCTAACCCAATATGATTTTTTAAACCTAGTAATCAACTGTGTTCATATTCTACCATAGATGCTAGAAGAAATTTAATATTTCTTCCTTATATGCTATCTCTTATATATATATATATATATATAACTAAAAAGTAACGAAAAAATCATTCAAAAAAAAGTTTCATCTTTTTTTATTTTTCAACTGAGCGCTCGAATTCAACATCTCAACACCTTATAATTCTTTTACTTTATTTTCTACTAATGCGTTGTGTATTAGAACACACTTTCACTATTTGATATGCATTTTCGTTATCTAATAATACCTTTTTTGCTCACTTTTTTTTTATTGAATATTAATCTTTTGCAATTAAATCTTTTCAACCAAAGTTGAGATCACAATAATCATTTGATCGGGAGACACTGATCTTCCTAATAAACTAAAGTCATTATTTAACTTATATTCTTACCTTAAGTCAAGCTTGTTGATTAAAATCTTTTAATGTTCATTACATTACAAATCAATTTATTTTCCATAAAGAGAATATTTCCTATTTGATCGATAAGTTAGAAAGAAATTGGTCATTTATTATGAAAAAAAAAGTTCTATAAAGTTGAATTACGATAAGAAAAATATATATATATATTGGGTACCCCTTCCAAACATTATTATATAATAGGAAATATTCTCTTTATGGAAAATTGGTCATTTGATTTTATGATTTGTGTATGTGAAATTTGTTGTTGAACGTGTGTTTGGTGTAGTAATTTTCTGGAGCACTGATGATGGTACCATGCTTCCAAGTTTTTTCCATTTTTTTTTTGAGATATTTTTTTTATTGCCAGAATAATTTTTTTTATAGTAATGAGTTGCCTCATTATTTTCAGATGTGCAGTTGCATGAAGGCGAGATTTATTGCTCTTTAGAAGATGAGATTTATTGCTCTTTAGAAGATGAACAACATGATGGATTTCAACCCCAAGTATGCTCAATTTTACCTCTACTTAACTAAAATAAATCTTTGATTTTGTGGTAGTTCTCAGGTAACTTGAGGGTTTTGCAATCCCAAACAAAAGATAACTTAAGGGCTTTGCAGTCCTTAACACTTGCAGTCTATGTTCTTATGTATGAGAACTGTTGGTGTTAGAGTTGTATTCATTCTTTTCAATATTTGCTAGGCATTATTTCAATTTAAGAAGGTCTTTGATTAAACTTGTTGGCCCAATCTTGCTTGATGCTTTACAACTTGATCCTTTGTACAATTGTGCTCGAGTAACTCTGTTCTTGTTTTATTTGTATTGCATTCTTTTGACAACTTTTTCTATTCAGAACTTTTAACAATACGACGCATTCATGCTTCTTTAACTTACTTATGCTTTTGATTCCTCTCCAGTAATTCGGAGAGCATTTAACAATTGTTTGCTATTCATCCCTTTTCCCTTCTTTGTTGTATTAGTAAGTTATCACGTTGGCCATTTTGCCATACCCACCTTGTTTTGTTTTCTTTTTCTTTGAGTATTAAGACATCCATGGCTAATCCTTTCCCATATTATTTCAATTGAAAAGTTTTTGAACTTTTGCATTCCTCCGATGCCCCACAAGTATGAAGGAGCTCTTTTTTTAAAAAAGGTTTTTTCTTTTCCAGTTTTTCAACACAATGCTTTGAATTAAAGAAATCAAGTGGCAAATGCATTAGTCTTCTTCAAAGATCTAAATTTTATGAAGTAGATCAACAAACATGTTTCTTGCAAGTAAATGCATTTGTCACCCAATGCTTTCATTTGATGACTAAAATTCTCCTTGGTCATATCATATAGTTTTTTGTGTCAGCTCTATGATCTTTTGGTGCATCATTGTAGTCTGGATGCTAGGCTGAATATATTTTTGCTAAAAAGGATGCATAATGGGTTGTTTACTAAATTGTGCCTTGTTTTTTATATTTCTTGATGGAAGTTTTAGATTGGTATAGTATTAATAGATGCTTTGAGAAAAATCTTACTGGTTGTTCCTTTTTACCAAAATATAACAAACATTATTCTCCTATAGTAGTTATTTACATATAGTTAATCATATTTGGTGGCAGACTCCAGCTAGGCCAGCATACAGCTCCCATAGAGTAAGCCAACATTCTTTTGAGCTAGCATCTAACGTTGGATTCAAATACAATGATCAAGAACATGTAAATACCTCTAAGTATGAAGATTTGCTTGATAAATGTTATAGCCCATATGCTGAAAGATACAGAATGAAGAATCTGAAGTTGCCTTTTGGTGAAAAAAAAATCACAAGCGAACGTCCGAGGGAATATCTTTATACTCTAAACTTTGTGATTTACACAAGAGAAAGAGGCAAATTTTTAAAGACCATCCTCTGCCCACTTTAGATACGGGATCTTCCATTCATTCAGAAGGCATTTCAGAGAGGACTAAGCCAACTGAAGAAGTAATTTCATTCTTTCCTGAGATCATGTTTCCAGCTAACTGTGTGCCTGAAAGTGCTCTCCCACTGTTAATCACAGAGAAAAAACTCAAGGTTGAAGTTTATGGTGCACTTGATAATTTACCAACAGTTATAAGCCCAAGTCCAGCAATGATGGAAAGATTTGGCATAAGGCCAGAATACATTAAAATGGGAAACAAATATAGGGGAAAAGGCGGATCTGAAGGGGATAAGAGTCCTCTTAGTCAGGAGCAAGCATCTCAAATGGCCCACAAGGCGGTAGCTCGTTTGTTCACAAGTGTAGGTTTTGAAGGTGGAACTGAAGTCTCAATGAAAATTTTCTCAGATTTTTTTAGTAGCCATATCAGTAAGTTAGGACGCAACTTAAAGCTTCTAACTGATAACTACAAAAAGCAAGTTTCATCTATAGAGCTTCTCAAAATGTTTCTGCAAATCTCAGGTCATGGGTGAGTTACTTACACTTAAACCTGTTTGATTTTATTCCCTTCTAAATTCTTTTTGTTTATTGTTTTTTTTTTTTTGAAAATTAGATCATAAGAGAATGCCAACGTGTTGCATGCAAATAAACCAGCATTTTTTACCTATTAATATCATGTTAGTTACTTGGGGCTTATATTAATGAGACTTAAGTGCACATGGCTTATTAGTTTCTTTTATATGTTAGTGCTTTGACACTGTCGGCGCTTAAAAGGGGAAAAAGAGAGTTTTTTTTAAAAGTTTGGGGGTCGTCCGTAAGAAGCTGTCGGTCGCCGGAATCGAAATCCCGTCGCCCGCTTTGGAAGGACTTTTTAATTTACGTATATATATATAATTTTAGAAAAATATGAAATCAAACTGACCTCATATTTTTCATAGTTTAAATGAAAGAGCACTCAACCTCAAATCCTGTATCTACCCCAAGGGATAAACGCAAGACTTGAGGGTGAGGCTCGATCAAATAAACTAAGAAAGATATGACATCCGTTTGGGTCTGCGAAACCGTTTTATTTGCCGACAAGTTCCCCTATTTAATACAACAAATTAAATAGGAAAAACTCCCTATAAGGGCAAGCCCCTATAG